AAAAGGATTTTGTTCGAACATACCTATTAACACTCGGGCCATCGATGCAAGTGATGTTAACTCAACCCCTCTAGTTGCGGAAACCACGGACGGGGCGACAAATCACAAAAATGAGCCGACCCTCGATCGAATCCCCGCTATGCGTGGGGGCTTGAGGAAAGTTGGACTTGCAAGAAGACCGAACACACGGTCGCAGAACGATAGCTAAGATACTAGGCAGGGGGTACGCATGGATACAAGAGATGCTTTCTCCTACTTGTTTTGCTATCCTCTCCTCGATTTTTAGTGACATCCAACCCCTAGCAACGGCAAGGGGTCGGATCTCACTGAGGGCTAATAAGGGTATAAATACACCCCTTTTTTGAAATAGTCGCCGTGCCCGACCTCTTCCTCATGTTAAGTTTAGTGGCAAGGTTTGTGGAAATGAATAATTGAGCATCCCTGGTCGGACTGCAAAAAGCCTACGCCTCGGTGGCTATGGTGTCTTTGCTCACCAGCTTGATCAAAGTTCTGCTCTTACACCTACGGTCTTAACAAATAGAAGGGTCAAAATACGTGAGCCAATTTTTTCACATACAAAAAGGGAACAAAACAAGTTCAATCAAACAAAATGAAGTTATGAAATTGTTTTTGCGATACATAAGGGTCGACGCTTGTTCACAGATTACAATAATGCTCATCCAACCTATTTAACTAACTATCCCCTTCAGGGGAGAACTATGTCTTCAACTTTGTTCACCAGGTTCAGCGCAAGAGGAGCCACCGCCGTCTCTATCTCATCCTGCTCGGAGGCTTTGTAGCCAGGCGCGAAGCCGAGGCTCATTGTCTCCAAGTCAATGTTGTCCGTGTAATGAGAGCAGGGGATGGCGAAGGCTTGGGTGACTCTAGAGCGAAGAGCATCCCTCTTGAGCTGGTGCACCCACGCTGTGATATCAACGGCATGGGCCGCAAGGGAGCTGGCCGCCCCAGACCACACCACCTATAGGTCATCGCAGACCACGCCGAGGGCGGCCTTTAGGATAACAAGCTCGTCGCTCTCCCTCTGAAGGTTACTCCTCACCTCGGTGAGGTCCGTGGCCAGCCCGACAGAGATGCCCTTAGCCTCTAGCCTCTGGTTTGTTGTGGTTCCAAGCTTGGCCTAGAGGGAGTCGATCTTCTACTGCGCGGTGTCGCGCTCTCAAATGGCCTGATTGTGCTCCTCATAGGCCGCGCCATGCTCCGAGCAGAGCCTCCCCGTGGTCTAGAGCAGTTCATCTTGCTCTTTGCATAGCTAGGTGACCGCCTTGGCATCCTGACTCATCCTCCGCTCTAGGGCTGTGAACTTCTCCTCGGCAACTAGCTTCAGGTCTCACTCCTTCTCAGCCTCGGCCAGGAGGTCGAGGATCCGCTGGTGGGTCTCAACGTCCCTCTAGAGCAGCTGGTCCTGCTCCCTCCTGACTCTGGTAGCCTCCTCCTCATCTTGCCGCACCCTCACCGATAGGGACTCAAACGCCTTCTCGGTTTCCTCCTCATGCCGACGGGCCTTGGCCTCCCAAAGCCAGAGATTGGCCACCTCCTCGGCCAGGGGAGTTAGCTCGGCCACCCTCTGTTGGGCGGCAGCAAGCTAGGTGGTCACCTCCTTGTGCAGCCAGGCCACTTTGACGAGGTAGCCCAGTTCTCCTTCTGCTCACGAAGGAACCGGGATTTCTCCCGGCTGCGAGCGATAAGGGTCTAAAAAAAGATAAATGTCAGAACACAAAAATACATGAAGAAAGAAGAAGGCGAGAGGCAAGGTCAAGTGAATACCCGGTCAGTGGGGAGAAATCCTAGCATCATCCAATGCTGATAGCATGGCCGCAATCACCTCGTCGAGACTCTCCCGCTCCATGCTCTCAGTGGCATCGTCGAGGGAGAAAAGTGTCGACGTCGGGTCCTGTGGATTCGTCCACTGGAGTAGGGGCTCGCCCCGCATGGGCGAATGGCTGCCCCATGAGGTTAGGGCCAAGGACGATTCCCCACCGGTCCTCTTTGCCACCGCCGCAACATCCGGCGACCCCTCGGCGCGCCCCTCTGCCGTCCCATGTCGGGCGCCGTCACTTGGGCCGTCGGTGGCGCGGATCGCGTCGCTTCCTCGGGCACCGCTACGGTTTCATCTAGCTACGCCTGGCTTGATACAGTCGCTGCCACCTCCACCTGTGTCCATAGGGCCTCGACAGCGGCATCATGCCCTCAGCGGTTGGTGGCACAAGCGCGGTCGGTAGCTCCATCCGTCCCATCATCGGTAGCGAAATCACGTCCGTCGCCGGCTCCTCGGCAACCTTCGAGGGCAACATTTGGGGGATGAACCCCAAGGTCCCTGCTCCACCTCATCGAGACAGGGGCCGTTTGAGCCCGCCCCCTACTCCCATGCAGAGGGGCTTGCTTCCCTTACATCTAGGGGTGCGGTGGCGGAGCCACCTCCCTCCATCGGCACCTCGGGCGTGGCGGTAGATCCGCCCACCCCTGCTGGTTCTAATGGCGGACCAACAGTCTGGCCCGTCTCCACCAGCCTCACAGATGCACTTTCCCCTCTATAAAACGAGAAAGGTCCCAACCCCTACAAAGGTGAGCGGGCAGCTATCAACATGTCCTCTCTCTCTAGGGCATCACGCTCGTTGTCATCGACTACCTCATCATCGTCTTCCTCGTCGTCATCGTCATCATTGTTCGTGTCCTCCCCACGCTCCCGTGCCCATAGCTTATGCTGCTGCTTCCTCCTCTTGTCCTCCTTCGCCTTCCTCTGCCGCTCGGCCTCGGTGCGATTCACCGCCGTCACGGACGGGTCCCTCAGTAGCGGAGCTGAGTGGTCCATGAGGATGAGGTTCCTCGGCTGGTCCCCCCATCTTACACTACAAAAAAAAAATTGGTTTGTAGGACATAAGCACACTATCATGGTAAGTACAAAATTGGTCATAAAAAGTGTCTTATGACAAAAAAGCAGCGTCATGCCAGTCGTCATATAACGACCATCACATAATGTACCTTGTGACGATAATATTGAGAACTGTCACAAAATGTTACGACCTTTTGTGATGGTTGCGTCTTTCCATCACATATTGTTATCTTTTATGACGACTGTAACTCTCACATATTGGTCAGTCAATGCGTCACCTAATGTATGAAACGTCATAAATAGTACGTGCGAGGACAGTCTCAGATAAGTTTTTTTGACGACATAGAAACGTCATATATAAGTATGTGGATTTTGTGATGCCTACATTTTGTCTTGTTTTGTATGCTAGTTAGAGACATTTTGAGATGACTGTATGGCGTCACAAATTGTCCACTCATTCATGACGAGTGTGGTAGCCATATTCAGTGATGACACACTGATCTTTCATCACAGCTCATAAAAGCATAATACACATATATATCAACCAAGCCATCACCCACAACATTCTCATCACAAGTCATAAATCATACACAATTCAGTCAAGCCATCATGCACACACATAAATTCAAGACCAGAAGACAGTGGTTCAACAAGTTCCAGCACACTTGTTCCACCACATAGTTCCAGGTTCCATCAGGCATGTTCCACCACAAGAGGTTCAAACATACAGAGGTTCCACCACAAAGGTTCAAACATACAAATAGATTGCACATAGTTCTGACAAAGTTCCAACCACAGAGTAAGTTCTAGCAAGGTAGCAAAAGCTTAGGCAAAGGCATCATCCTCAGACACTGCATTCATACCTACCTCAATCTTTCTGAAGTTTCAGGACAGCTCGTAGCAGTGCATTAGTCTCTTCAAACTTGGTATGCATCCCCATCACTTCCTCTTGGGTCTGACGTAGCAAACTTTAGTTTTCTTCAAGTGCGGCCTATTGAGCTTGAAGCTGTGCTTGCAACTCTTCCTACTTCCTAGCAGCTTCCTCTCTTTCTGCTTGGAGTGTTTACTCAAACTGAGCTTGCAGGCGTGCTTGTGCGGCTGTCGATGTTAGGAAGGAAGGTGGATGAATGGCTTATATGGCTGAGACAGTCAACAACAATCTTGGAGGGAGACTTTTGTTCTTCTCTTCTTCTGGCTCTCTTTCCTTCTCTACAACCATTTGTTCCTACATAAAATGAATCCACTTAATAACAAGGCCATACAATAGTGTTGAACCAGACATTTACTTGAGTGCAGTACATGCATGTATCCATTGATTTTGTATCTTACATATATTTCATTTGCAAGAGGAGTACGACCATTTTGGGGACTACTCATACATTCCCCAAAGAAATAACAGCATCTGGCTCCATGTTGTTGTACTTAGTCCTCTACAGCATGTTAAAAACTTGGGATATAAGATTAGCCATAGATTATTTGTACATGCCAATAGCAAGATGCCAAAATATGTATGCACTACAGATCATACAAGTATTTGCCTCTAGATTTTTATGCCAACAACAAATACAATCACTAGCAAAGTCAACTAATTACTGACAGTTCAAGAAAAACAACATAGGAACATGCATCAATGCAATCTGGACAGATCAAGAATAATAACTTGGCCTAAACAACACCTACTACTGATGATGATCATCTCTGATGACATAGCAATTCCTCTTGCAGATTTCAGTTTCAAATTGTCACCATAAAAGAATTGGAGCCTAAACACCTATTGCTTATAGCTCACTCGGCACAGCACAAATATTATGAACATGGGAGCTCATCTCAGAAATAATTGGAGCACGTGCTAACTTGACAGTTCAAAAGCACATGGTAATTACTAAGCTACAAATGTACAAAAGACATAGTATTCGTACCAGGCTGTATCGATGGGCAATATAGGACCTAGCTCCAGTCCTTTGATGAAGCTACACATGGGCTCGGTTTACTTTATTCTTAGCACATTTTTCCTGCACCACATGCAATACAGAGTTGTCATTCACATGCACAGTTTGCATTGCATATTAACAAAAGCAGATAATTCAGGCATGGACCTGATTCTTTGGGTCACACCAGTACTCTACTAGCTTGGTCCATTCCTCTTTCTTCATTTTAGGTGGAGGTTGCTTGCCAGTAGCTGTTCTTCTGTCAGTGACTCGTCGAAGTACTTCTTTTTCAGGTGATACCTCATCTGCCTTACTCCCCTCTTAATGATATCAGTGCATGCAGCTTTACTTGGTGCCTCATTCTTAACATCAACATCCAACCTTGACTGAAGCCACACAAATCATTTATTAGATACAATTTTTCACATGGGAGTAGAGTAATGCAAGAGAGTATTTGGAGGAGTGAAATAGCTGTCTCACCGCCACTTTGTCAAGCACTTTTTTTACTTCTGCCTTTCCCTCATCATTGTCATAAAGCTTCCATGATGTGTAGATGGGCATGTTGTCTCTAAGGGCAACACCAGTTTCTGATGCCAGCTTCGCTGCCTAAAGTGGGACATCAGGTCTTTTCTTCCCTTCAGCCACTTGGATAGCCAGCTTCTTTCCTCTATTTAGCATCTTCTCTAAGCCATGACCCATGGTTTTCTTGCGGACATTCTTTGGGGGCGCTGTATTGGCAAATAATGATCAAAATGTGTTATTAAAGCAGTAACAATTGTAGATAATGAATGGAGAAACAAATACTTAGAAACTCATATTGTTTACCTGGAACTAAGTCATCTCTTGGTTCTCCTTCATATGTATGACCCGATGAATTAGCGGCATCAAATTGCTCAGCTGACTCATTGATGCCATTGCTTTGCCTAGAGCTCTGTCCACCTGGTGAGGTGTCTACATGAACTGCTTGGTTAACACTAGTTGTGGGAGTAGGTTGCTGAGATAGGGTAGCAGTGGCTCTAGGAGTACTATGCTCAGTGTTTGCACCAGGCGAAGACATGGCTGCACTGGACCTGGTGAATCTAGGAGGACTAGGTATTGTGTTTGCACCAGGCGCAGACATGGCTGCACTGGTCCTGGTGAATCTAGGAGGACTAGGTACTGTGTTTGCACCAGGCATAGACATGGCTACACTTTTCCTGGTATATCTAGGAGGACTAGGCTGTGTGTTTGGAATAGGTGATGACATGGCTGGACTAGTCCTAGTGACTCTTGGAGTAGTCACTGTGTCTGTAGTTTCTGTGGTGTGGCTACCGCTTGTAGTGAGGTGGCCTTGCAGTTGGCTGCTACTAGAAATGACATTTGGTTTTGGGTTGGCTTTCAAAGTGTTCTTAGGAGGCAAGGGATGTCTTGGCCTAGGTGATGGACGGCCTGCAGGCGAAGGCATGGCTGCACTTTGCCTAGTGATTCTGGTTGGCGTGCATGGTGGCTGCTGGTTCGCAGCCGCCATTGTTGCCACCTTTTGCTTCTTCTGCTGCGGGCGAGTTCCTAGAACCATTGGTCTTTCTTGGCAAGAGAAAAATGCATCTTATTAATTATGAAAGAAGTGTCAAGTAGATTAATTAACTACAATGAAGTATATATGTTTCAAATGGAGAGACTAGAAACTTGTTAATTGTCCAAGTAATCCATCTCACCTCAGTATTGACCTCATTATTGAGGTCATCATCAGAATTATCATCACTGTCAGATTGGTTATCAATGTGAGATGAAGGATCATACTCAGTGTCAGATTCTGGATTGTCAGATACTAGTCTCTTCCCTTTGCCCCCTTCCTATTTTGAAAAAACATCACTAACAGTCTGAGCTAACACCGGAATACCAAAAGACTTAAAAACCTCCTAAACAGCCTTTACATTCGCATCCCTCTCCTGCTCGTACTTGATTTTTGTCATTTCTTGTATTACTTATTACGACCAAACGTAGAAAGAGCAAAAACTAGATTCAGTTTCTGTAAAAGATTTGAAAAAAACCTAAGTGGTCAGTAGAGAAATTGTAAACAAACCAAAAGGAGCAGTCTAATAGTTAGTCAAACCATTGAAATTGTAAATGAAACAAAATGGAGCTAATATACTACTGCTTTGTGTATCTTGATACAAAGAGCATGTCGGGGTGCCTTTTTCTATGGGTTGTAGATGCAGCTAATATCATATTTCAATAAACGTGTCACAAATTCATAATTCTTTTCTTTAGCATGTCGGGGTGAATAAAACAAGTATGAAAGGGCAGTGCACTAACCAGCAGTCCTGCACTAACGATTAACAATTTAATGATTGTTTACATTTTATCATCTATAACACAGCAAGGCCAAAAGGCCATTCATGGTCTTTTGTGCTTCCCCACAGAAGTACTAGTGCAACGAAGGGTCTAACTAACAAAGAAAACTCTAGGAAGCAAATAATTCACCACATCTACCGACCAAGGTAACAGGAGCTACAAGTTAGGGGAGAAGGGAAAGCAAGAAATGTTTGAGGAACTAACCAAAGCTGGCCAGAGGGCGACTCGTCAGACGACGAGGCCAGGGCTGGGCAGACGATGGCTAGAGGAGGAGGTGGCGCTCTGTGCGGAGCCAAAGAGATCAGCCCGCGGAGGGAGTCAGAGCTGCCGGTGGTGGGATGGGCCGCTCTGGCCTCCGGCATTGGTGTGGTGGCAGGATAGGCGGCTCAGTGCACCGGCGTAGGAGTGAGGGTTGGATGGCCGAATCCAGCCAACGGCGTTGGTGTGCCGATGGGATGGGAGCCTCTGGCTTCGGGCATTGGTGTGCCGGTGGGATGGGAGCCTCCGGCTTCGGGCGTTGGTGTGCCGGCGGGATGGGAGCCTCCGGCTTCGGGTGTTGGTGTGGCGGAGGGATGTCCGGATCCAGCCTCCAGCGGTGATGTGGCCACGAGATGGGTAGATCCGGCCACGTCGGAGGTGTGGCGCCTGGATGGGTGGCGTAGGAGTGACGACGGGAGGTGTGGCGGCAGCGGTGAGTGGCGGGCGGGGTGGTGGCAGTGGAGTGGCGGCTGGTGGTGAGTGGCGGGTGGGGTGGTGGCGGTGGAGTTGCAGCGAGCGGGGTGGTGGCAGCGGAGTGGCGGTGGGCGGTGAGTGGCGAGCGGTGTGGCGGTGGCGTGGCGGCGAGTGGAGGGAGGAGAAGGAGATTGGGGATTTCCCCTTGTTCTGACCCACGGGCAAGAGGAAAAGGCCACGGGGGGAACTTGGATGCCTTGAGCGGGAGGCGTGGTGGGGCCCATGTGTCGGCGAGCGAATCAACACGGGAGAGTGTGAGGTGCAGCTTTGAAAATTTGGCCACATTTTTGTCCTGGCGCAGTGGGTCCACTATGTCAGTGACCGTTTTAGTAGTATTAGGACTTCAAATGGTTTTTTTGGCTAATAAACGATTGAAAATGGAAACAATGTTTGAAACAAAGTTGCACAATGCGTTGAGATCTACCAATTTGGTTTTGGTTATTTCTTTGTATGACTTTGTTTCGATAGTTTGAAATTTGAATTTCAAAATATTCAAACTTCTAACAAAAATTTGGGGTACTAAATTATTTCAAATTAAAAAGTGATGAACACAAAGGTTGCACAACTCATCAAGACCTACAATTTTTGTTTTGGTCATTTGTTCATCCGACAAAGTGACAGTAACTTTGTTCACAGAAATTACATCTCTCACTTATAGTTCATGAAACTCTAAGAGAGAATGTAAAATTTATGAACTAAGTTACTACCACTTTCTCGAGATGAACAAATGACCAATACAAAAAATGTAGGTCTTGATGAGTTGTGCAACCTTTGTGTTCATCACTTTTTAATTTGAAATTATTTAGTACCCCAAATTTTTGTTAGAAGTTTGAATATTTTGAAATTCAAATTTCAAACTATCGAAACAAAGTCATATGAAGAAATAACCAAAACCAAATTGGTAGATCTCGACGCGTTGTACAACTTTGTTTTAGACATTGTTTCATTTTCAATCATTTATTAGCTAAAAAATCATTTCAGACATGGGAGGCTAATGAGCATGCTAGGCCCGCATGTCATTGAAACTTTGGACCACATGGCACTCAAGGCTAATTAGCTGGAGCCTGGCCAGCCAAGCCACCTACAGCAGCGCCGCCCCCTCCCCCCACAAGCAGCAGCGCTGGCCCCCTCGCCCCCATCAGTAGCCTTAGCGCCCCCTAGAGGCAGCCTGGCCGGCGACCACAGCTGCTCCCTCGCTCATGCCGCGCCGGCCACCCGTGCTGGAGAATGGAGCCTGCATCAGCGACCCCTGCTAGAGAGTGGAGACGGGCCAGCTACCCTTGCTAGTGCCACGCTGGCCACCCGTGGTGGAGCCTGGCTGTCCACCCTAGCTGGAGCCTAGCCGGCCATGCCACCTGCTCCCGTCGGCCCCCTCCCCCCCCCCCCAGCCAGCCCGCCCACCCACTGGCCGCCGCCCCCCCCACAAGTAGCAGGCTGCCCCCTCCCCCATCAGTAGCCTCGGCGCCCCCCAGAGGCAGTCTGGTCGGCAACCACAGCTGCTCCCTCGCTCGTGCCACGCCAGCCACCCATGCTATAGAATGGAGCTGCATCAGCGACCCCTGCTGGAGAGTGGCGACCCCTGCTGGAGAATGGAGCCTGCCTCGGCCACCCTTGCTAGTGCCATGCCGGCCACCCATGGTGGAGCCTGGCTGTCCACCCCAGCTGTAGCCTGGCCGGCCAAGCCACTTGCTCCTGCATCTACTGCCTGGCCCCCTCCCCCCCCACCAGCAGCAGCACCGCCCAGGTCGAGATGGATAGAAGCTGGATTTATAATAGTGCCCTATTTACTACGCCCTATTTGTCTGGTGTTGCACAATTCATGGAACATGTCAGAAGTAGATATAGTTTAGATGAGAAAATCAAGGGCCCATGCCAAAAATGCCTGAACCAAATAGAAAAAAGCCAAGGTGAGGTACAGGAGGATATCAAAATCAATGGTATGTCTAGGTCCTATACAAGGTGGATTGACCATGGAGAGGGAGATAATGATGTTGAACAAGATGATGATGGAGAACTCACTGTTGTACCTAAAGATATGTCATGGGAGGGAAATGACCAGGCAACACTTGATGAGGAAGGACAAGCTAAAGATGTCATAGAAGATAGTGCACGGGGAGTTCAGGGGTTGATTCAAGATTTGCACACTGCAGCAAGCCATGGCTTTGGTGGTAACTTATATAAAGAAATCATGGAAGAGGCAAAGCGTGAGCTTTATCCGGGTTGCACCGAGGAATCTAGGCTAACTTTCATTATTAAACTATTGCATATAAAAGTGTACAATCGGATAATTCTGCGTTCGATGCTTTCCTTGAGTTGCTTTTGACATCTTTGATGAATGTGACCAGCCTCCCTAAGTCCTATAATGAAATGAAAGCTCTACTTCAGCAGCTTCGTTTTGGTTATGTTTGTATTGATGTGTGCAAGTATGATTGTGCCTTATTTTGGAAGGACCATGAAGACGATGATCATTGCCCAGTTTGTGGCTTCACAAGATGGAAAGTGAACAAGGAGAGCAAAAAGAAAGTTCCTCACAAGGTCCTCCATTACTTTCCAATAATTCCACGCCTTCAAAGGCTTTTTATCTCAAAGCAGCGAGCACAGTATGCAAGATGGCACAAGGAAAAGAGGGTACCAGTTGAGAATGAAATGAGACATCCTACTGATGGAGAAGCTTGGAAAGAATTTGAAAATACTTTCAAGTCTTTTGCAGATGATCCCCGTAGTTTGAGGTTAGCTATTGCTACTGATGGATTCAACCCATTTGGTCAGATGACCAATTCATACAGCATCTGGCCAGTGATAGTGGTTCCATACAATTTTCCACCATGGATGTGTATGGACCAATCCAATTATATGCTTGCTTTAATAATTCTAGGAAAAAAATCACCGGGCAAAGATTTCCATGTGTTCATGCAGCCTTTGATAGCAGACATGCTAACTCTTTGGGAAAGTGTCCCTACTTATGATGCATATGAAGGCAAAGAATTCAGTCTACGTGTAGCGATTCTGTGGGGAATCAATGACTACCCTGCATAGGCACCATGTCAGGCAGAACTACTAGGGGTTACTTCACATGTGTGCACTGTGACGAGAATCCATGCTCCGAATGCCTGAGAAACAAAATTGGTTTCATAGGCCATAGACGTTTCCTCCCAAATGACCATCCCTGGAGGAAAAACAGATCTTTCGATGGCCACCATGAAACTAGAGAGCAACCAAGGAAATTTAGTGCAGATGAGGTTATGGCAAGGTTGGATGAAGTTTGCTATGTTCCAGGCAAAAATCCAGATAAGCCGAAATCAAGAAAACGACGTCGTAATGGAGAACCAGTATGGCATCTGAAGGTTAGCTTGTATGATTTGCCATACTGGTCAAAATTGAAGTTGTAGTACAACCTTGATGTTATGCACATAGAGAAAAACATATGTGAAAACATTTTGT